GAGAATGTTTTAAATGGTAAAATAATTAAATAAATGATAAAATAATTTCTTTAATATATTTGTATATTTTAATTATATAACAACAGTTGCTTGATAATTTAATGAAGCCAAACCTTAAGGTATTTACATTTTAGATATACAAGGTGTTCAAAAAAAAACATTCAATATTTATATGGTAGATAGAACACGCCATACTGAGTAAAAAAAATCTTAATAAACGTAGATCGAAAGCTCAATCGTTTCTGAGATATAAACATTTTTATATGTTAGCATCATGATTGACTTACTGGTTTCTACGTGTCGTATGCGACGTGAGAAGAAGATGATCTGTCTAAATCTTTATCTCGATATTTACAGAAGGTGTTTTACATGTCCTCCTTCTATTTCCATACACGCTTGGCAGCGTGTTCTTCTTACAGAATCGCGAATTCTCTTGAAAATTCCATGTCTCTGTCAAATTATTTGACAAGCACGCTGGTTTCGGTCACGTAATTCTTTAAATCATTTATCGGCGAAGAATATGCATATCTGCCATTTGTTCATTAGATTAATACGCTGACATTTTCAACGCTATACTTTGTAACTGATGTGTAATCACCAAATCGCAAAGATCCGCAATCGTCGGTTGATAACAATTGACTGATTGTCGGTGAAATCTTCTGTTATAATGTATATATGGAAATTGAATGAGGACATTCAGAACGCGGTTTGTAAACATTGAGGTAAACATCGCATGCAACACGTAGAAGCCAGTAAATCAATCATGATGCTAACATACAAAAATGTTTATATTTTAGAAACGGTTGAGCTTTCAACCTATGTTTACTAACAGTAAGATTTTTTTACTCAATATGGTGTGTCCATATAAATATTGAATGGTTTTTTTGAACACCCTATATATACATATACATATATATGTGTTATTATATTTTTTTAAATAAGGAAGTTATACAATATGTGTCATATTAATGCGTCGTGCGCTATTCAATATAACGTATTTATCACACTACGTGTATTCAAATCATCAAAAATATACAATTTTATACCTGATCAATAAAAAACAAAAATGTACGAGCTTGATTGATAAAAACATATAAGCTTTTCAATATTGAAAATATGAAATATTAAAGTCGGATAAAAACATTTGGCATCATGTTCATAAAGAATAGAGAATTTTTGTTTATTATATGTGTGAAAAAATTCGAGGCGAATTATAATTATTTTATAATATTTTATTATAATTATTTTATGTACATATTATATAATAAATATATTATATATATGTGTGTGTGTGCGTATCTGTGTATCTGTGTGTGTACACACATATATACATACATATACAATTTATGTAGTGAATATCTTTAGGATATATGATTACGTGCGCGTGCGGATACGATTATATAAAACATCATATACATACATATACGCATACATATACATATATTTGAATGTTCAATGTAAATAAAAATTATAATTAGAGCTTTAAAATAAAATTATTTATTATAAAAAATATGCATATGACCAGTAGGTACTTCAATA